TCCAGGGCTGATCCACGTGCCCAAATTTGCATTCCTCCATCCTCCAACCCGCTGGAGGGCGTGAGCCAAAGGGAAAATGAAAGAAGCCAGCAAGATGAAGAGTTTTACGGGGCCTCTCTAGGACTCTGCCTCTCTCTTTCCAGAAATTGTGGGCGCTCCCTCCCTGGGGGGAGCGGGGGCGCTTAAGAAGAGTCTGGACAGTCACTTGTCTGAGATGGCATAGGTTCTCCTGCTTGAGCAGGGGGGTGGACCAGAAGACCTTCAAGGTCCCTTCCAGCTTTCTTCTACTCTATTCCCTGGTCTATTGCTCCTTTAGAGCTCCTTCCTCAACCTTAGCAACTTCAAGACGAATGGACTTCAAATCCCAGAATTCCCCAGCTGGGCTGTTTTCAGACATGTGGGTTTCACTTCCCAGATTTACTCCACCAGCAACCTTTAAGACATCTGGACTTCAACTCCCAGAATTCCCCAGCAAGTTTAAGCTGGCTGGACTTCCAACTCCCAGAATTCCCCAGCCAGCCTGCTTTGACAGATGGACTTCCACTCCCAGAATTCCCCAGCCATATGCTTTAAATGGGTGGACTTCCACTCCCAGAATTCCCCAGCCATATGCTTTAAATGGGTGGACTTCCACTCCCAGAATTCCCCAGCCAGCCTGCTTTGACAGATGGATTTTCACTCCCAGAATTCCCCAGCCAGCATGCTTTAAGACACGTGGACGTCCTCACCAGAGATGCTGGCTGGGGAATTCTGGGAGTGGAAGTCCATAAATCTTAAAACTCGCTGAGGTTGCAAATCTCTGCTTTCGAGCCAGAGAAATATAAGAACACTCTAAAGTCTAAACCTTACAGTGCATTTCTCTGGATTTGTGGCGTTTCAACAACAGCCTGTCTGCTCCCCCTTTAAGGTTATGAGGGGGCCCACATCCTCCTCCCTGAAGCTGGACTACAAGTCCCATGGTTCCCCAGCCGGAGCTCGGCGGAGGAATAATGTTGCTTTCTCCCAATGCCAAAATGACAAGAAATTTCACTCTTTTGATGTCTAGTTGTTTCTTGGAGTTGAGCCAGGAATTTTTAAAAGGCATCGATGGGGAGGGGGGGTTTGGGGGGGGCGAAGAGGATGCCCCCGTCCAAATGGCATCTTGAGGGGACCGACACTAGAGTCCTCATTTTACGACCTTTCTCACCACAGGGATTCGTTAAGCGAATCTGGCTTCTTTCACTGACTTTGCTCGTCGGAAGGTCGTAAGTTTGAATAACGGTCATAATAAGGCTCCCGTTTCAGTGCTGCGGTAACCTCGGTCACTAAGCGGACGGTTGTAAAACGAGGATTAGCTGCACAGCTCAGCAGCTAATCGCAATTCAGAAAATCCGCTTTGATCGTTTGATAGTCAGACCTGCCAGAAAGCAGATCTGCCTTGCTATTTATTCCTTCTGCTTTCCCGGCCTCGCAAGGTTGATCCGAAATCGGGGATCTGATTTCCCGCATTGTTCTGAGTGCTTGTTGACTCCGGAAACCATCATTCTGGGCTCTCACGTACACCACCAACCATGGTTTAGCAACTACAACTAAGCTGAGGTCAACTAAGCCACCAGGACTCAGTGAAGGGTGCGGAAAGCCAGAGCCCTTGGGAAATTTTAGGATGGGAGGGGGCTTGATTTGGGGGAGGGGGCTTGATTTGGGGGTCCTTGACATCTGGGCAACCACACACACACCTACGCAAACACACAAATGTTGTGGTTGCAGATCCTGGGCAACAAACTTAGGTTTCTGCAAAGGATGGGAAGAAGGTGTGTGGCCGTCACGATGACATCATCGCTTGTGACATCACCATGCAGCAGGATGTGGGGATGTGTGGAGTGTCAGGTGTCTTCCCGAGGTCCACATCAGACACTCCGCGGGTTCTCACATTCATCCTTCGCGTGTTTTACACCTGCGTTTTCCAGCCTTGGGAACTGTACGACGGGTGGGACTTCGACTTCGACTCCCGGAATTCCTTGGCACAAATGCATTCCTTTTCATGTAGATACCCACTCTCTTACAATCCCTTCCTCTGCAATCTCTCCGCTCCAGGAAATGGTAGGGGGGGAAAAAAAAAAGAGGTGTAGCAGTTGGCTGGGGAATTCTGGGAGTTGAAGTCCACCCGTCTTACAGAGATGGAGGAACGCAGGTCTGCAAAATGCAGATAGCCTTCAACAGTTCGTTTAGTGACCGTTCGAAGTTACGACGGCACTGGAAAAAAGTGACTTAGGACCGTTTTTCACTCTTACAACCCTTAGGGCCACAGGAACAAAATTCAGAAAGACCCTTGGCAACCGAGTCATATTTATTTATTTATTATTTATTTATTAATTTAATTTGTATACCGCCCTTCTCCCAGAAGGGACTCAGGGCGGTGAACAGCCAAAATTAAAAAACATGCAAAAGCAAAAGTTAAGATAATTAAAAAGAGTTAAATCACTGGCTACCCAATTTAAAACCCCAAATCCATAAAATTTAACAATCCCAATTTATGACGGTCGCAGCATCCCCGGGGGCCGAATTGTGGGCCGAAACTATTTAATATGTTTTTCAATTGTTTTAAATTTTGTATGCTATGTTTTTACCTTGGCTGTTCACCGCCCTGAGTCCTGCTGGAGAAGGGCGGTATAAAAATCAAATGAAGAAGCTTGAAGATGGGTGGACTTCAACTCCCAGAATCCCCCAGCCAGCACCCTGAGTCTCCGGAGAAGGGCGGCATATAAATCAAATTAAAAAAAAAAAAAAAGTCCAGTCGCCTTTTGGAAAAAGCATCTTTGGGACAAGGAGCCCGAATCAAACTTCAGATGCTTGGCAACTGGTTCACATTTACGACAGTCGCAGTGTCCCGGGGTCACATGATCCCCTTTTGAGACCTTCTGACCAGCAGAGTTGATGGGGAAGCCTAGATTCACTGAACACCTGTGCTACTATCATAACAAGTATAGCCGATTCATTTAACAGCCGTGGCAAGGAAGGTCGTAAAATGAGGTAACATTCACTGTAATAAAATGCTTGCTTAGCAACAGAAATTTTGGGACTCTGTGGCGGTTGTAAGCCGAGGATTGCCTGTATTTATTTACATTGTAGATGTTATTCTTCCCATCTTTTTAAAATAGTTTTATAATTTTAGAAGCGTAAACCACCCCCAGAGTCACGCAGTGAAGTTGGGCGGCTATGGCAACCGAAGAAAGAAATAAACGAAGTGAAAGAGGGCCTGAGCTTCCTTTGCTCCCCTGCTCCCTCCCCAATCCCCTCTTCGCCCTTTTTGTGCTTCGTGGCTGTGAGCCAAAGGGAAGAGCAGCATCCTCATGGCCAGATCCAGAGCCCGACAGGCCCGTTTTCATCCGGGGCTCCAGAGCTCAAAACTCCAGGAGATGCGCTGGCCCAGGCCTCGGCTTTCCCCTCCCTGGACTTGGTCACCATCACCTAAGATTTGATGGAACTTCTGTGCAGCAATTCTGGCTTGAATGTAGTTGAATGTCGGATTGCCACCCAGAGAAACGAACAGGCAGGCAGGGCCGGGCCCTTTCCCAAACTGAAAGCGGGAGGAAGAGGCCGAGGCCAAAAGCGGAAGCGTCAGCAGAATGGCCACGTCGGGAAGTGAGTTACTGCTCTTCATCAAGGGCGGTTGCTGACGCTGGATGGGGTGACGACGGCAGTTGAGAGCACGGAGGGTTCTATCAGCTCCCAATGGAGAATGTGGAGGGTGGTTTGTGTGTGTGTATGTGAGAGAGACAAAGAGAGTGAAAGAAGAAAGAGAGAGGGAGGGAGGGAGATTAAGAAAGAGAAACACAGAGAGGGAAAGAGAGAGAGAAAAAGAGAGAAAAAGAGGAAGTGCGAGAAAGAGAGAGAAAGAGAAAGAGAAAGAGAGAGAGAGAGAAAGAGAAACAGAGAGAGGGAAAGAGAAACAGAGAGAGAGAAAGAGAAACAGAGAGAGGGAAAGAGAGAGAGAAAGAAAGGGAAAGAAAGAAAGAGAGAAAAAAAGAAAGAGAAAGACAGAGAAAGAAAGAGAGAAAGAAATAGAGAGAAATAGAGAGAGAGAGAGAAATATATATATATATATAGAGAGAGAGTGGGGGGTGGGGAGAGAGAGAGATGGAGAGAGAGAAGGTGCATTCCTTCAGATAAGTCAATAGTCAAACCAAATCTGTAGCCTTTTCTGGATGTTTTGCACAGCACCACAATTGAGCCTAACATTTCTCTTGCTAAGTGAGCCAGTTAAGTGAATTTTGTCCCATTTTACGTTCTTTCTTGATAAAGTCATTACGTGAATCACTGCAATTGTTCAGTTAGTAACACGGTCGTTAAGTGGATCTGGCCTCCCCCACTGACTTTTGCTTGCGAGAAAGTCACCAAAGGGGATCGCGTGACCAAGGGACACTGCGACCATCATAAATGTGAGCCAGGTGCCAAGCTCCTGAATTTTGAGGATGTGACCATGGGGATGATGCAACGGTCGTAAGGGTGAAAAACGGTCATAAGTCCCTTTTCTCAGTGCTGTTGTAACTGAGAAACACGGATGAACCTCCAAGTGGCCTCAACGACCCTCTAAAACAGGGGTCGCCAAACTTGGCAGCTTTAAGACTTGTGGACTTCAACACCCAGAATCCACAAGTCTTAAAGCTGCCAAGTTTGAAGATCTCTGCTCTAAAAGGATGCCAATGACCAGCTGCCTGCAAGGAGTATCGATCCTTCCGTTTCCCACCCTCCAGTCAGAGCTGAAGAAGCTTCTTGGATGAGAAGCGAAACGTCTTCAAAAGAAAATAAAAAACCAGAAAGTCCAGTTGCCTCCTGAAAAAAAAGCCCCTTTTGGGACAACTGTGACTTGGATGACGGAGAACCTTCCACAGACTTCTTGAGAACATCAACCTTCCTTACAATGGAGTGAAGAGGCACCTCCGTCTCCCTTCACATCCGGGCAACTTTCGGAGAGCGGCGCCTAGAGAAACAGGCCCCCACACCCCCACAACCCAACTTACTTCTCTGGGTTGTCTGGGAATTTGATCCGGAGCTCCTGGTTCTTGTAGGACCTCTTCTCAAAGGTGAGGATCATCTTCTTGACGGAGCTTTCGTCCAGAGGTTCCTCCTGGCCAAAGACAGCCCCGTTTAAGGACACCGTCACAGCCTCCTCCGGCACCCACAAACCCAGTTTGAACAGACTCCCTTCAGGGCATGGGACCCTCTTCCTGCTCTGCCCCAGCTACGGACCCCAAAGAACGCAGCACACACAAAATCTATACAAAGCTTATTTTACTCAAATAACTCATTCTTTTTCAAACAAAGGCTGTCAATAAACTTTCTTAACAGCCTACCAGAATTCTAAGATAAGGTAATCACAGTCTTACTAGAATTGGCAGAAAGCCCAGAAGCAATTTGCAGAGAATCCAGCCGCGAAGGAGATTGAACTAAAGTTGTTCTCTATAGCTTGTTGCAATCGGCATTCCTTCTTAAATAGGCTAAGGGAGTGGCCAATTAGCCCCTAGCCTTACTCTCGAGGAGACCTCCTCCTGAGGAGCCACTCCTGCCTTTTGGCAGCTCTGCGCGCCCATGCATCGATTAGAGGCTCCTCCTCTTCATCCTCTTCACTTATGGGAGCTTCTGGAGGTTCTGAAGGCCCTGGATGAATCCCCGCCTCTGGCACCACATCTTCTCCAGCCTCCTCACTGTCCGACTCGAGTGCCAGCTGCACAGGCTGCTGGCGCAGCACCACACCAGCCTCCTCGCTGTCGGAATCAGCTACTAGCTGCACAGGCCACTGATGGGCCACAACACTTCCTGGTAAAGGTGGCGCTTGCCGCCATCTTGGATCAGGGCCTCCAACACTGGCAAGGGACAGCTGGGAGGGAGGGCCCCTCATTTCGCCACCCCATTGCTCCCTCCCTCCCTCCCCATTGCTGCATCACATAACAATTGGTGGGAGAGGGCTGCTTGCTGCTCTCTCAGCCTGGTAAGTAAACTCAGAGAGCACCAAGGACCCTTCATTTCGTCCCTGAACTCCCAATATTCTCTTTTATAGGTGGGAGGGGGCTTCTTCCCTGAGAAACCAAGCACAGGTAACCCTTGACTTATGACAGCAATGGAGCCCCAAATTTCTGTTGCTGAGCAAGACGGTTAAGTGGGTTTTGTCCCATTTTATCTTCTTTCTTGATGCAGTCATTACGTGAATCACTGCAGTTGTTCAGTTAACAACACCGTTGTTAAGCAAATCTGGCTTCCCCATTGACTTGGCTTTCTGGAAGGTCACCAAAGGGGAACACCTGACCCCTGGGGCCGTCATAACTATGAGACAGCTGCCAAGCATCCGGATTTTGAGCAGGTGGCCATAGGGGAGGCTGCAACGATCTCATAAGTATGAAAAACGGACATAAGTCACTTTTTTCAGTGCCGTTGTAAAACTTTGAATGGTCACTAAATGAACTGTCGTAAGTCGAGGACTAACTGTAAAAGTGTCATTGTCCCCCCCCCCCACCCACCCCTTTCAGGAAGAATGCAGGAAGTGACCGGATTGAGAGAGTTTAAAAGCAAAGATAATTTATTTAAAGACTGCGTTTAAAAAAGTTGCAATATTTGTCCAACTGGGTTATTGCTGCCAACTTTGTGTTGTTGTTGCCACAGGCAGGAGGTAAGATGGGGGAGGGGGGGTTAATGTGTTTTTAATTATACGATGGATATATTTTTTTTTTTAAAAAAGGGAAGCTATCTGGAATCACTTACATGTGAGTTGGGTAGCTGTATACATTCGTTTAATAAACAATAAATCAAACCAATAAATAAATTTTGCCGGTGTTTCAAAAAGACAACAACAATAATAATGTGAATACTGTGAAGTGTCACCTTGGGAAAGTATCTCTGATGGGAACTGCTCCTGTTTTCCGTTTCTGTGTGAACCCTGGATAGTATACATGACCTCAGTGTGTCATTTCTCATAGAAGAAGCCGAGCTAGGCTTGACTTGGGGTGGTTTAAGGCACAGGTCTTCAAACTTGGCCGCTTTAAGACTTGTTTGTTTGTTTATTTATTTATTTATTTAATTTGTATACCGCCCTTCTCCCAGAAGGGACTCAGGGCGGTGAACAGCCAAAATTAAAAAAAAACATACAAATGCAAAAGTTAAGATAATTAAAAGAATTAAATTATTGGCTACCCAAATTTAAAACCCCAAATCCATAAAATTTAAAATCCCAATTAAAAAACCATTTAGGTTTGTGGACTTCAACTCCCAGAATTCTCCAGCCAGCTGGCTGGGAGTTGAAGTCCACAAGTCTTAAAGGTGCCAAGTTTGAAGACCCCTGGTTTAAGGGTATTCCTGTCTTGGGCAGCGGGTTGGACTAGAAGACCTCCAAGGCCCCTTCCAGCCTTAGGATTCTAAGTTCTGTGACAGGGGTCTCCAAACGTGGCCCCTTGACAACTTGTGGAGTTCCAACTCCCAGAATTAGGACTGAAGACCACAAGCGGTCAAAGGGCCAAGGTTGGAGACTCCAGTGCTAAGGCTTTCTCCTTCTCCTGCCCAACTATAGGAGAAGCCACGTCTTCTGCAGTCAGTGGGGACCCCCCCCCCCCAAAAGAGCTGCCTTTGAGAGGGGAGGGTCCGCTTGGCCCCGGAAGGGAGCAGGCGACCGTAGGGGACGGAGGGCCAGGAGCCAAGCAAAGGCAGGACGAGATCCTCACCTCTTCATCCTCCTCCTCGCCCTTTTCAAAAATGTGGAGCAGCTTCTTCTTGTCGTCTTCGGACTCCTCGGCCACCGGAGGGTCTTCGTCCCGGTAACGGCCACGCTCCCGATAGCCACCTGGCTTGTGCCGCGTCTTCGGCTCCTCGTCGTCGTCATCGCGGGTCCGCTTGGTCCCCCTGTTCGGCTTGGGAGAAGGAAACGTTCAGTCGGCAGAGGAAGGAAGAGCAGCACCAGGGATGGGACCCCTTGCAGCAAAGAGGGGGGGAGGGGGGACTTGGCTCGGGGTGGGGGGAAGTCCAGGGCTCCTGCCCATCTGTGCCAGGGGGGGGCGGGAGATGCGGGGGGGGGGGGGCGTCTGAGGGGCAGCCGGGCAGGTGGGGCTGCCTGCCACTTCCCAGATGGGAAAAGAGCTGCTTCCAATAGGTCCCACGTGGGAATCCCACCTCCCTCCCCCCCTTCCATTATCCCTCCCTCCCTTCCCCTTCTCTTTTTCTTCTGTCATTCCTACTCTTTCTTTTCCTTCCTTTCTTCTTTTCCTTCCTTTTCACTTTTCCTTTTTCTTCTTCCCTCCCTCCCTTTCCCTCCCCTCTCTTTTCCTTCCTTCTTCCTCCCTCACTTCCCTTCCCTTCCCCTTTCTCTTTTCCTTCTTTCTTACTTTTTCTTTCCTCCCTTCTTCCTTCTGTCCCTTTCCTTTTCTCCTACTTTCTCTTCCTTCCTTTCCCTTCCTTTTTCCCTTCTTTCTTACTTTTTCTTTCTTTCCTTTCTTCCTCTCCCTTTCCTTTTCCCCTACTTTCTCTTCCTCCCTCTTTCCCTTCTTTTTCTACTTCCTTTCCTCCTTTCCTTTCTTTCCCTTCCCTTTCTTTCCTTATTTCCTACTATTTTTTCTTTCCTCCCCTTCCTCCTCTTTTCCTTTCCTCCTCTTTTCCTTCCTTTTTTACTTCCCTCCCTCCTTTCCCTCCCTTTCTTTTGCTTATTTTCTACTCTTTCTTTTCCTTCCTCCTTTCCTCTTTTCCATCTTTACTCCTCCCTCCCTTCCTTCCTTTGCCAGGGTAGCAGCTTGTCCTCCAATGCTAAAAAGACCTCCGTGCCCCCCACACACACACACCCTGCAAGCAAAGCTCCCCCAACTAATCTGCAATGCCGGGACCATTCAAGTGGAAAGAGAGCCACAAGCACATCTGCATCCTAGGAAAACCGGCCCTGGCCTCCTGGTGAGAGACAAGCCCAGAGGAAGGGTCCCCCCCAGGTGAAAAGGGGTGGGGGGTCCCCTACTCTCAGCTTCCCCCTGAACTTCCTGGAGTTGCTTCAGCCATTTTTCCTTCCAGGAAGAGCCCAGCTCTCACCTCCTGGGAGCATCCAGGATCTCCTTCATTCCTGGAGGGGACGGAGGGTTTTGCCAGCAAACGTAGTTGGCTTCCCCACCACCACCTCCACCAATTAAGGGGTTGGAGGGGAACGTTGCAATAAAAAGAATGTCCCCGCCCTCCCCAAGCAGAGAAAAAAAAGCCTTTTGCAGGCTTCAAATGGCCCCCCCGAGAGAAGTTACAAAAGGCTTGGAAAGGCTTGGCTTTTGAGGGCTTCTCTGGGCCAGGCACACCTGCACCCGGGGCTGCTTCTCCTTTCCTGGGGTGTTTTTAATTGAGAAGGCAGGGAGACACAACAGCTGCCATGAAGGGCTTGGGGGTGTGTGTGTGGGGGGGGGGGGCAGGAGCACAGAGTTTGGAGAGACACAAAGCAAGGGAGCCCATCTCACCAGAACTGTGGTGGAATGAAAGCCTCCCCCCCCAAACCCTCCGGGACCAGCCCGCTGCCTCCGAGCCCCCCACCACCCAGGCCTTGATGGGCAACTGCAGCCAGCCTGGACCTCAGCTGGGATATGGCCCTTCATATACAATAAGAGAGCCGGGAGTTTAAGCATTAAGGCTCCTCAACACCAGGGAATTCCCAGGCAAAGACAAAAGAGATTCAGAGGTCTAATATAGTTTCTTTCCTTCTTTCCTTCCTTCCTTCCTTCCATCCATCCATCCTCTTCCTGTCTGCCTTCTTTCTGTCCATCTCTTCCCTCCCTCCCTCCCATCTGTTCTATTCCTTCCTTCCCTTTTTTCAATCTTTCTGTTCCTTCCCTTCCTTCCAGCTGTTCTATATCTTCCTTTCCTTCCTTCCTCCAATTTCCTTCCTTCTGCTCCTCTTTTCTACTCCTTCCTTCATATCTTAATTTCCTTCTTTCCTTCCTTCCCTCCTTTCTCCTTGCCAAGTACCAAAAATAAACCCCTCTCGGTTCCCCCCTCCTCAGCTGCAGGCAGTCCTCCCATCTCTCCTTCAATCGTCCCATTGAGAGCAATGAGCCTCCTCCCACTGAGCTGAGCACGGAAGCATCTCACGCAGCTCTGGGCCAGGCGAGGAGGGGAGGGGGACACGGGACCGATCCTGAGAGACCCATTCAGCCTGCAAAGAAGCTCCAGACAACCATTTCCCACTATCTCCAAGGAAACACTTACGTGTCCTTGGATAGTGTCCTCATAGAAATAGAAATAGCACTTAGACTTACACAGTGCTTTTACAGCCCTCTCTAAGCGGTTTACAGAGTCAGCATAATTGCCCCCAACAATCTGGGTCCTCATTATACCCACCTCGGAAGGACGGAAGGCTAAGTCAACCTTGAGCCTGGTGAGATTCGAACTGCCAAATTGCAGGCAGTTGGCAGTCAGCAGAAGGAGCCTGCAGTACTGCACTCTAACCACTGCGCCACCATGGCTCATGTGTCCTTATGTGTCCCTATATGTCCTTATGTGTCCCTATATGTCCTCACGTGTCCTTCTGTGGCCTTTATATATCCTTATGTGTCCTTACGTGTCCTTGAAAAGACAAGGATGCCTGTTGGAACTTCACAATAGGGTTACTAAGCGATCGGTCATAAGTCGAGGACAGCCTAAATTCAATGACCTTACAGGTAGTCCTTGATTTATGACCATAATTGACCCCATTGCTAAGCTGAATGCAACGAAATTTCATTTTAATGGATGCCGATAAGTGTCCATTCAGAGTGACCATAAAGTTATTCAACTCTACTGCTCTACAACCTATCCCCCTCCCTGCTGGACACCCTCACCCCCCACCCCCATGTGGACCACGAAGGCAAGCTGGCTTTGGACGGTTTTCCCCGAGTCCCACTTTGCATCCTGAATATTTTAAAAATAGCTTGCTCCGTTCGTGATTTGCATATCGGCAACGCCATGTATATATCACCCCCCCGCCCCCGCCCTCCCCCCCCCATTGGGGGGGGGATGGAGAGATGATTTACAAACCGTGCCATAAATAGATAAGAGCTCGGTGGGGGTCCTTTGCCAGATTGCCTCCGGTGCACGGCTCACCAAGGGCCCTGCCTCCAAAATGGTCCTTCCAGCAAAAATTTTTTTAAAAAATATTGAGTTGCAAGCTCCAGTAAACTCCAGCTTCATCAGCATAACGCAGCAGGGCTGAATCTGGGAGGAGCGCAGCAAAAGTAACTTGGGCAGGAATTAACGCACTCGGCTTAATCTTATTTAAGAAGATGCCGGCTGCAAAAGCAAATAAACCCGGTTACTATGGTGCCGGGAAACCGTGCGTTGCAGGAGGATGAAACGCAGGGGGGGAAAAAAGAGGCTTTCTGGATGCCAGCAGGCAAAAATCTCCAGCCACTTATTAGGTACCAATTTGGAAGTCTCACAAGAAAGATCTGATCTCTCCAAGGGACCCTTTGAATCTTTGGGGACCCCCCTGGGTGAAGACAGCCTCCTTCCTCCTTCCCTCCCAGCCCCGGACTGGTCAGTATCTCCGAAAAGGAGGAATCCCCCTTGGCTCATGCAATTTCGGAAATAGGAAATTAAGATTAAGGATCCCTGGAGGCTTTCAAGAAGAGACTGGACTGCCATCTGTCAGAAATGGTGTAGGGTCTCCTGCTTGGGCGGGGGGGGGGGTTGGACTAGATGACCTCCGAGGTCCCTTCCAACTCTGTTACGCTGGCTGCTGGGAGTGAAGTTCATTGGCTGTTGGCAGGGAGGGGTGAGCACAGGAGGGGGAATCCTTGGTGAGAGGCAAGGAAGGTAGGAAGGGGCCTCTTCCTTTCCAGAAGGGACGGAGACAGCCAGCAACTCAAAACACAGAGAGGAAGAGGAAGGGGGGGGTCCATGGTGCCATGAGCCTGCTTTCTTGCAAGCATTTCATTACCCAACTAAGTAACATTATCAGTGCTAGAAGGGAGTGGGTTTGCAGAGAGGAGCAGAGAAGCATGGGATCCTTGGTGCTCTCTGAACCTGGTTGTTTTCTTGCAGGCGTTTCATGACCCAACTAGGGAACATCACCAGTGCTAGAAGGAGTGGAAGATTGTGGAGAGGAGGAGGAGGAGGAAGGGGTGGGAGGTCATTGGTGCTCTCTGAGCTTCTTTGTTTGTTTATTTATTTATATGCTGTATTTTTTTAGCCACCCAAACTTCCTCAGAGAGAAAGAGGCTCTGGGGGTTTTCCTGCAGACGTTTCATGACCCAACTAGGGAACATCATCAGTGCTAGAAAGAAATGGGGATTGTGGAGAGGAAAGGCCAGGAGGAGGATTGTGGTCCTGGGGGCTCTCTGAGCTTTGATGATTTTCTCTGCAGATGTACCCAAACTCCACTATAATACCATCAGTGCACCCACCTACTTGGGGCAATGAAATGTGTGCAAGAAAGCAAAGGCTCAGAGAGCACCGAGGGACCCCACAGTTCTCCTCCTCCTCCTCCTCCTCCTCCTCTTCCCACAAGCCTTCCTCCTTTCAAGCACCAATGATGTTACCTACTTTGGATCATGAATTGCCTGCAAGCTCAGAGAGCACCAGGGACCCCCATCATTCCACTCCAAACCACAAATATTCTCTTTGATTGGAGAAGAAAATGATGTTTTCTCTGTTTGGAAAACTTGGCTTGGGAGTTAAGGGGGAGGAGACCCCACCCAGCAAAAGACTGGATCTACAGTTCTAAGGCAGCGCCAGAGAGAGTCACCCACTTGCGAGCTTTACAAAACAGAAGAGGTGGGTACCAGCTCAAGCACCAGTGGCCAGAAGGGCACGAAATGCTAATGTTTAGAAGCTCTGGACCGCCCAGGCCCAAGGTTAGGAGAGATCAGGGGAGCGAGGCTACAACATACTGTATTAAGAGCCTTGGTGGCGCAGC